CTTTAAAATTCCCCTTATTTTACCCACAGCATACTTCATAATATCCCCAGGAAACATTTTATGTATATTAACATTTAGTAAAGTTTACAGATCTATATATCCAGTTTGTGTCAAATAGGCTTTAAAATGCCCCAAAAGTAACATTTAATTTAAACTGTGGCTTAGCAGTTAATAGCATTGGCTAGCCTTTCAGAGGACCTGGGTTCCATTCCTGACACCCACATGGTGGCTCCAGTCTCGGGAGCAACACCCTCTTCTGGCTTCCATACCCCAGGCACACACATGGAGCACAGATATAAATGCAGGTAAAACACTTAAACACATAAAAAGTGGGAAAAAAAATCCTTAAAAAAATAAAATTAAACTAAACTTAAAAATATTCAACAAAATTTAAATATTTAAACATTTCAACTGCTCAATGATCAACTATCCACTACTACATCAAAGAAGACTAATACTTTATTAATAAGTTAGACACTGCATTTAACTAACTGAAAGAAAATCAAAAGGAATTCTGTAGCTTAAACTACAATTTTAGAATGAAAAGTGCTCTATAGGTTACTACTAGTATTCTACTGGTTACTGAGGACTAGGCTCAAAACAAAGATGAAGGAAATTTATTTGAATAATTGAAACAGGCTTCTTCAAATGCCATCAAAAGCTACAGTTAATGCCTAAAGAACAAAAATCAAGATTTCTACAGGACAACACAGCAAGGTAAAATTTAAATAGGTATTAAATAGTTTTATCTGGCAAGAACACTGACTTTGGAAAAGAACATTTAAGAAAATAAGAGATTTTAATTGACAAGATGTTATAATTAAAGTTGGCTACAAATTTTGATAACAAGAACACATAATTAATCAAAGTATTATGATAAAACAGGAAAAGCATGTAAGTAAGCTCTTAGCCTCCTGTATGACCCTTAAAAATTCTTAAACATAGAAACTTTTCAAGACAGTGTCTCATGTATCCCAAGCTGGCATTTAACTTACTATGTAACCTTGAACTTCTAACACTTTGGTCTCTGCCTCCCAGTGCTGGGAAAACAGTGTGTACCACTATGTCCAGTTTATGGAGTGCTGGTGTTGTATACATGCTAGGCCAAGTACTCACCAACTGAACATAATCCCCAAACTCACAGAAACCTACATTATTTATTTATTTTATTAGTAGCAGCTTTAGTAAAAGTTGTCTACAACTCTGTGAAAGAAGAGATCACTACAGCAATACCATGCCACTCACCAATTCTCTATAGGTATACTTCAGACATTTCAAAACTCTCAACATAGCAAAGGAGACATTACATAGTATTTACTAAAATTCAGTATCTCAATCAATAAACCACAAATGACTGGTTTTACACAAAAATCGAAAAATGTATTGCATGCTTCTAATCAGGTTCTACAACCAGTTTTATTGTTATAAACACCTATACTAGAGAAGGTGGCAGATGGATATGGAGGTTAGGGGCCAATAGGCCTGAGTCCATAGTGAGATCAGAGGGACAGAGACACAAAAATGTCACAAATCATGTTTACAGTTCAGTTTTTTAAAAACATATCTATTTCCTATGTAATCAACACCTAGATAAAGACACAGAACACTTCCTGGGCCTGTTCCCAGTCCATATACTATTGAAGATAACCATTATTCTGTATTTGTTAACATAGTTTCACTTCTAACTGCAGAATCTTTTATTCTACTCAGTAATTAACATTTGGCCAAGTTTCAATTAGTAACCACACTGCTCTGTATTTATTATTATTCCTACCTACATTTTCATCTTTACTTTGGTTATTTTAGTATTCCTACCTCATTCAAAGACATGTTTAATACAACTAATTTGCACTTTTTTATTATAATTGAAAGATAAATGGAATTAGTTTTAGTTTTGATTACACTGATAACTAATTGCACTGACACTCCTGTCATTGCAGTCTATGGCATTCTACTTGCCTGAATATCATCTTCCCTGGAGAGGAATAACAGGTAAGAGTAATTACTAACCATAATGCCCTTTGTTCATAAAAACAAGAAACCTCAGCTGAGGGACTGGAGAGATGGCCCAGAGGTTAAGAGCACTGGTTGCTCTTCCAGAGGACCCTGGTTCAATTCCCAGAACCCACATGGAAGTTCACATTTGTCTGTAACTCTGGTTCCAGGAGATCCAACACCCTCACACAGACATTCATGCAAGGAAAACCACCAATGCATATAAAAAATAAAAGGAAACCACTTTTTTAAAAAAAGAAAGAAAACCTCAATTGAAATGACCAAATAATATATATACTTCTCACACGCATTTAAAAACATAGTAGTTATTACTCACAAATTTATCTACTACAGAGATAAAGAAAATACATAATTTATAACAGGATATCCTACTGCTGTTATTAATAAAAATACTAAGTAAAAATATGAAATAAAATTTTAAAATAGTAAGATTAAGAAGTCTTAATGCCAAAAATTTAAATCACAGATTAAATCACAGTAGGGGTTTTTGGTTTCCAACTTTAGAGTCGTCATCTACTTAACTGAAAAAAATTTAAAAATTACCAAATAAAATTTCACCAAAAAACAAACAAAAAAAAACAAAACAAAACAAAAAAACAAAACAAAACAAAAAAACAAAACAAAAAAAAACAAAACAAAACAAAACAAAAAACACTATGAAATAGAGCTGGGCCTGCCTTTGATCCCAGCACTGGGGAGGCAGAGGCAGTCAGATCTCTATGAGTTCAAGGCCAGCTGGGTTTACAGTGTGAGACAGGCCCCAAAGATATATAGAGAATCCTGTCTCAGGCAAAAATAAAGCAAACAAAAAACCACAAATTAACAACAAGAACAAAATCCTATAAAATAGATGAAAACAACAACCACCAAAACCAAAAAATATGAAACAGGAGCGTTGTTTTTCACAGGTCTTTCCAATGAAGTCAGGAGACTGAACATATAGTGCACAGCTGTACAAGTTTTGCACAAGGACATTAACATCTTAAAACAAGTATCAAGAAAACAAAATATGATTTCATTTCTTCACTATCTTAAAAGGAAGAAAGGAAAATAAAAGTTCCATGTTTAGTAGGAGTCAGTTGTGGAAAATTAAAGAACTACACCTGTAAAATCATCTTGAAATTGTTTAGTTCAGAACACAATTCTAAGCTTCCAATTCTAAGAAATAAAAGCCTTACTTAAGGTATCTTAATTTTGAGCATGCTTACTGGCCTAAACTATGGATTCAACTGCAAGTTACCTTTAAATTTGCCTAGTTCCTCACCTTTAGACATTTGCCTCCATTAATTATGTTACACACGCAGTATCTATTTAAATAAACAGAACCAGTTGGTACTGATGGCTCAAGTTTGCAACACTAGCTATTCAAAAGGCTGCATAAGGGGAGAGTATTGTTGCCAAGTTCAAGGCCAGCCTAAACAACTCAGTGGGCCACCGCCTCAAAATAAAGTACTAGCATCTCAAAATAAAGTACTAGGGTTATATATACCTCAGTGCTTTTCCTTCAGTTCCCACAACTTAAATAAGTTAATAGGATAGAACTGCTTCAATAATACACTAAATACGAGTTCGAACTGATTGCCAATAACGCCAGGGTTGCTCCATTTCTGTCAAAGTATCATTGCATCCTACACCTAGAACTGAACTAGATCCAAGATTTTAAAACCTAAACCAAAATAATTTCTTACTCATTACCATTATTGCTATTACTGTAACACAACATGGCAAACATGTATTGAGTATCAATGAGTAAGAAAAAGACAGTATCAAAGTCATATTCTACTAGAAAAGTAAAACTTCCTGAAGATAATTGGATCACATTTTAAAATATTAGCCAAACGTTCTGGATCGTGACCCTAGTGGTGTAAACATCCCCCCAAAATATCCAACACCAAATAACCAACATCTAAAGCAAAACCTGAGTAAAAAAAAAAAAAATGCCTTTATATATAGACTTAAAATCAAATTAAACTTTGTCAGAACATTTTGAGTTTTAAGACGCGTCAAGATACGGGAATCTTATTTTACACAGGACGATATACTCTACAAAAAGCATGCTGAATAAACAGTTCAACTAAGTGAAACAATAGTTCTAATTTTCAGCTGACTTAGAAAAATCCTTACGGTATTTCAAAAAGTTTAACATGTTTAAGCTTCCGTTCTTTTTTTCCAAAGGATTGTAAAGGCAACCTCCAAAACGGCTTGCCTAAGCAATGTGTTAGCGCGGTGTTAATACTGTAACAATTTATACATCAATGGAAGGGAAATACTTTTTACCAAACGGGAACAGTTAAATCAAAATAACCTCTAATGCTACTCAAGACTTGAAAGATCAAACCTCAACCGTGCTAACAAGCAGCAGAAAAAGCTCCTCTTTGCACTCAGGGGGCAAAACGCTCTTGGAGCAATAGCTCCACCTACTGATCCCTGATACTTCCTTAAACATTTTGGCACCCCAAAGTCTACGCGGCTCGAGTTCGTTCCCCCTCCCTCCTCTACTCGCTCTGACCCAACCCAAATGCCGTTGAGTCACCAGCTCCTAACACTGATCCCCATGCTCTTTATTCCAATTCCTTTTCCCTCCAGAAGGTTCTGCGCTGCCCTCAAGCACGAAGAAAACCGAAACGTGTCAAAGCCCGCAGCCACAGCGTGGATCCCGGATGCGGATGAGCACCTGAGGTGGCTCGGCCGTGCGCTCCCGGGAAGAGGCCCCGGGCGCCCACCACACCTTTCCCGGTTGTCCCACTCGGCGCACACTCGTCCTCCGGGTTGGATCCGTGGACTCGCGCCCTTGCCTTCCGCTGGCCCCACAGCCCGCCAACAGCCGGCCTAGCCTCCGCCCCCTCCCGGAGCGCGGTGACGGAGGAGCCGGGCAATGTCCCTGCGGAGGCCCGGTCTTGGCGCGAGCCTCTCCTCGCGGCGCCCTCCGGGGCCACCGGCCCACGCCCCTCTCCCCTGCCCGCCGCCTGCCCTCCCTTCCTCACCCTTTCATCTTCCCCGCCTGCTGAGGCCGTCGTTACAGCCGCCACCAACGCCGTCGTCCTCGCCGCCCGGAGCTCTCCGCGCCCTGAGCTCTCCGCGCCCTGAGCTCAGGCCCCTCGACCCCACACGCCGGCCTCTTGGCTGACAGAAGGGCGCCCGAGGGGGACAGGGAGGCCACGAGAGCCAAGCCGGGCCGCGAAGCTCCGGGGAGACGCGGGAAGACCTGCCGCCGCCGAGCTGCGGCCGCCGCTCCGCCGCACGTGCACACGGGACACTCGGCTCCCGCCCGCAGCTGCCGCCAGTCAGCCCCGCCGCCGCGATATGACCTTTCACCCCGCCCCCTCAGCGCGCCGGCGCGGCCGCCGCGTCGCGCGCAGCCGCAGTGCTCCGTGCCGCGCTCCCCTCCCCCCAGGGCTGCCCCCCCCCTCTCCCCAGGGCTGGGCCTGCGGGGGGGGGGGGCGGCTAGCTCCGCCCAGCCTTGCGACACTCCCGCCGAGCTTGCTCGGTAGGCTCCGGCGGCAGAAGCCGGATCTTTCCACCCTTCCCTCTCTTCTCTCAAGTCTGCACGATCAGTCTTTCTCCCGCCCCCTTTCTTCCTAGGGCTCCAGTGACCTTCAAACGCTCTTGTGGCCTCAAACGCTTTTGTAAAACGGGTTTCTTCTCGAGGTAACAAAGCCTGTGGAGACCTGCAGTAAATGTGTTTTCAAAAGCAAAAGGTAACGATGGGCCCGGATAACTTGGCTATCTTCCAGCAGGCAAACCACGTTTTTTTTTTTTAATCACATGACAGGTTTAGGCTTTCCAGCCAGAACCTTAACTCGGGACTTAGAGAGGCGGGACTCCACCGCCACTTCCGGCCCCTAGAGCGTGACTTAACGTCACTTCCTTAGCAATGCACTTTAACCCTTGCCATGCAGTACAGCTTTCTGTACTGTAGTTTATAACCCAGTCATAGTGAAAAAGGGAAATAACCCGTTCATTAACCGCGGGACCACTAATACCCAAGCGATTCGCTAAGATCCAACACTGTCGAGAGGCACAGCGTGCTTGGGGAGGAGAAGCAGGGTGGAGCTTGAGGTCACATGATTAGCACGGCCCGCCCCTTGCAGCTGAAGACTTCCCCTCCCTCAGTGACAGAGCCTCTGGATCCCATCTAGGTACTGATTCTGCACTTCGCGCCCCGGCAGGTCAGGTGCGACAGGTAATTGGCGACTGGTGGGGACGATTGACCGGGAGAGAGGAGAAAGGGATTGGGGAATGTGAACGGCGGCCTGCGGTGCTTGGGGCTCCTTCCCCCTTGTCATCCTGCACTGGCTAGTAGCTCTGGACCCCTGGCTCGTCCCCGTGGTCCGCTGGCGAGGGATTATGATGCCCACCTTTCCCTGGGTTGAGAGCGAGTGCGGCCATTATGGTTCCCTATTTGGAGTCTTTGGGGCTTCAGGTGGTAGGGTTGCTTTAGCTATTACTCGGGATTTGCAGCCACCTCCAGGTCCCATTCCCCCAAAGCTCCTTCCCTGGTAAAGGCCTTCGGCCGGATGAGCAGGAAGATAGGAGAACCCCCTGGAGGCAGAGGCGTCTCCGGTGAGACAGGCTTGGGAGGGAATGTCACTGATACGGCCCTCACTGCAGAGTCACTGAAGACCTTCCCTATGAATGTGTGTTCTCGGTGATTCTAAGGATTTTATTGGACATCCCTGCAGAGAGGTTCAGTGAGTGTTCACTTGCTCCGGATGAGACTGGAAGGGTTACCCCAGGACTTATAGCTTTTTCTTTTCGGAGAGAAAGCGGTTGTACTATCTTCAGAGCAGGGTGTTTGGTATTGCGACAGGCTCAGTTGAATGGGAAGGCAATGAAAGATGGTGTTGCCTCCCTGGGCTGGAGACCTGGGCTGGCTTATGGGAAAGTGACGAGGTTTTTCCGAAAGGGAAGTAATTCTTCCGAAACTGATCAAGCTGAAAATATAATAAATGTAAATTCATTTGGCTATAATTTAAAAGCAGGAAGATTAAGCCTAGACATTACTGACTTCATATTTTCTGCCTGTGGCATCATTTCGCTTTTAGGCATTTTTTTTTTCTTAAATCCTCCATAATTGCCCCTCCCAGTCAATTCCTTGGCCAGTTTAAATTTGTGGAGTAACGCTTGTGTTTTTAATTAGCGTTTGCATTTGTTTAAAAAAAAAAAAAAAGGTGACCTCTCCTGACTTGGGTGTATAATATATTGTGAAAATACAGGAATTATTTTGCACATAGGGTTGCACAACCCTTTGTACTCCATTTTATATGCACAGTAGTAGCCAATGTTTTGACATCAAACAAAGAGCTTTAGGAAAGGAATGTTTGTCAGTTTGGGGCTAAACTCTTTTATTTATTCTGCAAACTTAGAAAGTTCCTTGTTTTAAATTGGAAGTCCTTACAAAATATCACATTTGACTTTTATAATTTAGATTATACATTTTCTTATATGAAATCAGGTTTTTAGTTAAATATTAGTTCTAAGCAATGTAATTAAAGAATCTGTGTTTTTTTAAAATCTGTTGAGGATTGGGAATACGGTTCTTAACACCATGAATGCTTGAGGAATAAGATGGAATGATTGTCTTACAATGATTTGTCAGATTAATTTTTTCCCCTCCCAGGTTTTCTGAAATTACATGATCGTATTTGTTAACGAGAGCTGCAAGCTAAAATAATGATAGCAATTTAACAAAATAGAAAGAATGGCCTGTTTGATACTTTTTACTAAAAATATTACCTGGGTGACCTTGCACTGCCCAGAAAAATTATAGTGGTTTTAATACGTGTATTTACAATTTTACCATTTTGTGATCCATACTAGACAGTAGCTATTGATATGTTTATATAACAAGCATAAATATAGATTCTTAAATAGTGTATTCCTTTTCATTGCAAATCATTATCCTGTGGTATGGATGGCATTCACTTGTTGCCATTTTTATTTGCATGTGTGTGCATGCAGGAAGTGTCTTCCTCTTTTCTCCCCCCCATCCCCTTTCTTAGGGTAGGCTAGCTCACTGATTCAGCAAGCCAGTGAGCCCCAGGCATCCTCCTGTCTCCATCTGCCCTGAGCACTGAGGTTAAAGGAGCACCAACACACTTGACTTTCACATGGATGCTGGGGAGCCAAACTTGGATTTTCAATGCTTGTAAAGCAAGCACTTTAGTGACTGAGCCATCTCCTGAAATACAGTTTTAGCCATTATTTTTCTCCAGACTGAGGTTCTGATCTCTTGAGAAAAGAGGGAAAAATGGTTTTCCTTTCCTGCCCATGTGACATTCCACCAAGTAAACAGAATTCCTAAGTGCTTTGGAAGTCCAAACTAGTGCTGTGCAGGTGCACCAAAATGGACTAGAGGAAACCAGTTTAAAAGCACTGGGTACTAGCGGAGGAGACGTTCATCAGAAAGAGATTGGATGAGTCTGCAGTTTTACTTCACAATTAATTGTTCCAATCGTAGGGAACTTGAGGATGCTGTAACTTAGACTACTGATGAAATCTGGGAGATTAGCAGCAGGAATCGGTGATTAAATAACAATGGAGAGTAAATGTGAAAAATGTATGACATTATACGCACACAAATAGAGGATTAGAGTATTGGAAGGCATTTCTGATACTGTATAGCTTATGTGTGTCTGAGTGTGGTAGTGTATGCCTTTAATCCCAGCACTGGGAGGCAGAGCCTGGCTGATTTCTGTTAAAGGCCAGCCTGATCTATATAGAGAATCCTAGACCAGCTAGAGCAGTGAGACCATGTTTCAAAAGGGAGAGAGATTTATATGCAGAAATGTATTGGGGGAATAAGTCCTCCACTAAGTAATATGTAAAGGTTGGAGCTCTAACACCCTTTGGTTTTTCCACTACGAGGTCTTTCTTATTTTCACTGTCTTTGTAGGGTATCATCACAATGAAAAAGTATTCTCCTTTGGGCCAAGGTAGCCAGTCAGTTCCTTAGGCTACTACACAATATTTTCTATTCCTTTATTTTTACTTAAATTTTATACCTGTCAACTCAGTAGTCCTCGGTAAGCTGTAAAAATTCCTTCAGTTAAAGGATACCGTCTCTATTGTGTCTTCTCCCCAAGGATGCTGCAGTGGATAAGGACCTGTCCAAGCAAACATATTGCTGAAGTCCCTGATAGGTTGTTTACTGAATGAGTGTTGAGCAATTAACAAGGAAATTAAACCACTTTAATTCTCAGATTGTAGTTCCTTCCGAGGTTGTTTACTAAGTACTAACTTTTTAATTCAAGTTTCCAAACACTAAATAGAATAGACATAGACATTGTGTGGACTTTATTAATGCAGTTACTAATTTACTTCCACAGTGTGTTATGTTTACTGAAAAGGTCTATGGTTATCATTCAGTAGAAGAGGGCAGGGATAGTTGTTCTAAATGGGGGGGAATGGTTGTACATAAACTGCAAATGGTTTAACACTAAAGTTAGAGGATCTTCATTCAGCTTCTCTGTCTTAGTCACATGCCCTTTGAAGTGCAGCTCGTGCTGGCATTTTCAGAGTTCTGTATTAAGAAACTTTCCTCCCGATGGTATTGTGAATTGAATGAGATAGTCTTACATATTCTATTTGAAAGTAGTTTTAAAACTACATGGTATGTGAGAGTGAAACAATACAATTCAAATTTTACCTGAGTAGAAAGCCTAGTCGGAGAGACCTGGAATTAGATTTTAGCCTCTCCTGTTATTACCTGTCTGACCTTGGGCACTGAAAATCAAGTTTTCTTATGTTTAAATCTAGCCCATGGGTATTATTAAAGTTGATCATGACTGTACAGTGTCTAGTACACACTTTATAAACTTTTTTTTTTTAACAGAGGCCAAGGCTGGCCTTAAACATGGTCATCCCCCTGTCTCCCTCCTAAGTGCTGGCATTACAGGCGTATGCCACCACTCCAGCAGAAATTCTTACTAATTATATTGACATATGTTTCAGTTGAATATACTGAACTTCTAGGGAGACTCGAGATGTGCAATAAAAGGTTTGTGTCACAGTCAATGGACTAGAATTTGAAGTAGGTCTATCACAAAAAATACAGACAAAAAACAAAACAAAACAAAAAAACTCTTATAGCTTTATTCTTTGAGACTGGCCATATGCTGTTACTCAGGCTGCTTTCAAACCCCAGGTCTGAGGCTAGTCAGTTTGCCTCAGTCTCCCAAGTCACTGGACTGCAGGCTCAAGTGCCACCACAAATTTAAACAGACTCTAAACTTATCAACATAATCTCCCCCTTTAGCTATAGTTTAGTATTTTTTATATTTAAATTTTTTCCCAATGCTTATTATAATCATT